CTGTTTATCTGCGACAAACCTTGCAATGTCTTTAGAACAGGAAAGTAAAACGTTTCCTCGAAAGCTGAATTGCGCCTGGAGAGTCGATCTCAAAGTTAGGTGTAACAAGGCTTTTTAAATTTGGCCGTGGAGGCCGCCTGAAAATTGCCAATTGCCTCAGCTGAACTCATCATAGTCTTACCGCGGTGTTCCCCACCGTAGCAAATGCGAAATTAGCACATTGCGGCGGCTTTCAGTGGGACGCCAAATACCGGGTTAACTCCTCTGTAGGAAGAGGAGTCAGTCACCCACCTGAGCTTTCTCCAGACTTTGATAGCTTCTTTGATGTCGGGTTGCCAAGCGCCCGAGGGGGGGGGGGAGGCCCTGTCTGTTTAATGGAAGCTTAATGGGATGTCATTTCCCTCCGTGCCTTCAAAAGCTTCGCCCGCCCATTTCTACCCATTAGGCCTTTGTTATAGAGACAGGACTTTCCCCTCCAGGTCTGCCGGCAACTCCACTCGATACAGGATTGATTCCGAAATAGTGCAATTGAAATTAGTGGCTCGAGGAGAGCAGTGAGACAGGTACTCGCCACGCTTCCTTGGAAATGAGGCTTCGAGGAACTTTTCGCGATGTGGACAAAGGGGGTCCTGCGGTGAGCGGAGCTCTTTTTCAAGCAACACCAGGTTAAAGATTTAAAGGCATCAGGCGGAAGTCTTGTTTTCTCTTGGTTATGCCGAGGGTGGGGGAAGAAATTGTACTTCAGACCGCGTTTCACTTTGTTCACAGTTCTTTAAAACAACAAAGGAGGCTGCTATTACTTTCTTAGGGGATCATTAAAAAAAACAAACAGCGACTCACAAACCACCAGTCACCCATGACTCGTCCTGCGAGAGTTGATTCTTCCCTCCCACCCCCTTCCAGTTAAGCTAAAACCAACATGGTACGAAGGTCCCTTTCGGTGAGATCGGGGCATCGCCAAAGTAGAAGCTTCCGTTCTCCTTGGTGGCCCTCAGCAGCGCCCCTTCGCCTCGTTCTTCTCAGCCCTGCTTGGTTGCCACTGCGGACTCTGGCAAGCCGCCAAAGATTTCCAGCCGGGGCCTCTCTTGGATGCCACTACAGTGAGCGAGGGGCCAAAGGCAATCCAGGCAATCTTTCCAAAGAGAAGGTTTACCTGCCAGTGCCACCCAGCCCCTCCCTGCTTTGTCAATGGCGGCTTCTGTGTAGGCACGATAAATCAATCCGGGTTTTTTTGGTGGATCTGCATTTTAATCAATTGGTTGAATCGTAATATATTTACCTATCACCCAATTTCTTTAAAAAAACAAACCCAAAACCCTAAGCATCTCTTTGAAATCTGAAAGGATTTACCCAAGCAGAAAGAAAATCTACTCCCCTGGTTGATAAAAGACCATTAGTAATATTTCCCCTTGGCCTAACCAGTCCACTGGAACCAGAATCACCCCACTTATGTCTCAATTTCCTCGATCAAAATTAACATCTGTGCTTCATCTGATTAATCCAACCCTAGTCAGTTGCACTACTTAGAGTAGAACTGGATCTTTCTCCCACAGATTTACTGTGCCCACAATTTAGCAAAACTGGAGGAGAACAATGTTGTTGTTGGTATGTGTGTGTGTGTCTGGGATTTTTTTTGTACATGTAGGTGGCAGCTTGAACATGCCCCAATCTGAAATCTATAACATTCTCCAGAAGTGCATGTGAGAGAGTCTCAGGAAAGTTTGAAGGTTGCAGTTTCATGACATTGGGAATAAGTTCCATTGGATTTTGTTGGACTTTTGGGTGGATTGACCTGCTGGTATCATGATTAGCAGTACAATCCTAAACAGAGTTACAACTTAATCCATTGATTTGGATGCAGTGTAAATGTACCAGACTGGAGTCTGAACCAGCAAACCAATGGCCAGCAGTTAGAGTAAATGGAGCCAGGACAGTCCTCTTCTGATTTCAGGATTCAGAGTCTGCACCCTGAAGAAGAGGTTTGAAAGGTGCTCGATTAAGCTGCTACACTTCTGGACCGAAAGTAAATTCTGTTGATCTCACTGGATCATGAATAAGATGGAGAGAAAAACACCGTTTTGGGAATCCAGCATATTCCAGTCCTATCCTTTGTATTACTGTATCAAGATGAGGGTTTTCAGCGTTATCTCATTACTCCAAAGTGATCTAATCCAGTCCTATCCAACGCGATCACTTCATACATAGAACTAAATCTTGGGGTTTGGCTTCATTTGGATGTGAAATGAAAACCAACTGTTATTGCAGCACATAAAAATTAATGTAAAGGTAGTGAGTTCAGAATATAGTCTGACACGACTGAAGTCAGAGAGCCCCTTCCTGATTTTAGGAGGACCACTCCAGCAGCTACATAACTCTAGGGAAGTACTCTTGGCTGGGTAAGGTTGTAATACAGATTGAGGCCATGCCCATTTGAAACACCAGTAAGAGTCTAATAGCTATAGCTCCAACTGCAATGGCAAGTTTCAGTGCTAGTGCATGGTACAGTAAAGGACACCAAGGGAAGGGGGAGAGACTTCTTACTTACTTCTAAGGACCTGAGTTTAAGGGTTCCGAAATTGCTTTCATCCACAAATCCTTGAGTTTCTTTTGGAACTCTGGCAGCTATACAATATCACCATATTTAAAGGTAGCCTCCATGGAGTTTATTGAGAAGCTGCACTGTTAAGAATACTTCATTTCAGGCAACAGGAGTTCCTTTTTTATTGTTGTATTAACTATGATACGTAACTATTAATTTAGTAGGAGTTAATAACTTTGAGGAAGAACTTACAAGTTACCTGGCAGAGACTGACAATGACAACCAGGGTGACGGAAAAGAGGCAGATGCTCGAGAGAGGGGAGAAAAGGCAAGCTATAGGAGTGAAGAAATACCTTCCCAATCTACCTTTGGAAAACCTACCCACATACTTTCTGTTTTCTACTCAGTTTCACAGTTTCTAATTTCACTTAAAATCTGGCCCATGAAGGCTAGATTTATTTAAAAGGAAAAGAGGCCAACGTTGTTGGATTCTGGTAGACTTAGCTGAGTTAGCCTGATAGGTTCTATACTGTATGGAGCTATCATAGGTCTGCACATTTCTGTGTTATATGTGCAATGACATTTTCCTTCTCTAGTTATATGTTTAATTCATCTTACTGTTTGAACTGTATTGAGAATTAAGGAACCAATGCAGACCAAGGAGCAGACACGATTGCCATGTATTACAGCACGTAGGAACAAATCCAGTCAAAAATAAGATTCACTACTTTCAAGCAACACTTCAGTTGAAAACATGTAGCATCAACTTTCCAAAAAAATGAACTTATCACCAAAGCCACAACAGGTTCGGAGGTAACATGTACTAATCATATTTCAGTACCCAGAAGTACACAGAGTAGCCACTTCACAATTACTTCTGTGGCTGTAAGAGCAATGATCATTTCTGCTTCTATCTGACCCATGGCACAATCATGTAATCTATGGATGGAACACTTGGACTTCATCCATTCCGATCAGCAGCCAAATCCCTACCACAACTTGTTTTCAACAGCATTTATTTCCAAGTGAACATGCTGAAGATTTTGGCCTTCCATCCATGTAAGGATTGGACAGGTAAGTCAAAGCTGAGTCAGTTGGGGTAGCTGCATTCCATCTGTTTTTATTTTCCCAAATGAATCATGACACGATATTAAAATGCAGATTGTAACTCAACTCCGGCCATCTTTGTGCACATTCAGCAGCTGGCAGGACAATTGTGCCGTTTTTTTGTGTATTGCAGACCCAGGCATAAAACCTCTCAGATGTCTCCTCGGTATCCAAACGGTTGTGGCTTTCCCTGCAGTGGTCTCAAACAAAGGGAAACATTTTCATTCTGTATTAATTCGAAGACATTAATGGAAACAGACAACATGACAGGCATTTTAGTGTGTTGGAAGGAACATAAAGTTTGCTCCGAAGGCAGCCTCAGCATAGGAACACATCTTTTCTTGATTGACTGAAAGCTTGAGTTCTTTGAGCTTTTCCACCTCAATGATAGTTCTGAGTGGGTCAAGGCTCCAGAATAGGATTAGACAAAAGCAAATTGAAGAGTTTAAAAACAAAGAACTGTTTTCCCAGATTCAGCCGGCAATTTGTATCAGGCTAATGAAAACACTGCTTCAGTTAGGAGAGCAGATCTGTATTGATGTGATGCAACACAAACAACGTTTATTATCTGTAGTGGCATGGATAAATCCATTATGAAGCTGTAACAAATAGGTTCTATGTGCTGCAGAGAAGCAACAGGCTACACTGTGATGCACATTCATGCTTTAGTGTGTGTGTGTGTGGCGGGGGGGGGGGGGGCTACAGACTTGGAGACTGCCAGAGTGCCATAGAGTAAATTATAACATAATTTAGTATTATGAAACAAATCCTAGTACAATACACTGAATATTAATATGCTGTGGGTGTATATATAGATAGCATATATATAAATTCTTAAGCAGAACTGCAGTTTTTCCCCACAACATATATTTACATCATTAATAAGATGAAAATTCAGCAGATGTTTGATTTGCAAATGTAACTAAGCAATATATTGAGATCAGGTCAATTTGAGGTTTATAGATCAACTGTGCAAATCATTTTACATTCAAGAACTTCAACTCAACTGTGGATTAAGCCATCCCAATGGCAGTCAGCTGGAGAATCACCATTATTGCATGTATACAACCAAATCCATTCATTAGACCACACAAATCAATTTATAATAGTTCCAGAAATATTTGTGAATCAAACCACATTACAAAGAAAAAAGTTCAGATACAAATATTATTTTTCTGAAATGTACAAAACTTCTTAAAAAGGAAACCTTGGAAATCATAGACAGTAACTAAAGGGCAGCATACACAGGCACTTTGCATCTGATTTAAAAACAGAATCTTAAATAGAGGGAAATTACAGATCTTTTGAAAAGAAACAGTTCTCCATATGTTTTAAATGCTTGACGGTCCCACTACTATTTCAAAGGTTTTGCTTTCTTTTTGCCACTTCCCCATCCACCGCTGAGCTGAACCGGATGGTCTCGAAATGATATCCGCTCTTTACGTGAGGGGCCCAACTGTGATCTCTCAGGTGCAGGTGCATCCTTTTCTATACAAGCAGAAACTGCTATTAAAATACCAGAATCCAACTTCTTATAAACTTAATAGAACAGCTATCAGCATGCTTAATTTCCTCACTGTTCATAACCTTGAAGAGCTTTAGCAGAAATGCTGTGCTATTTAAAAACAACTAACTGCTGAAAAATGCTTTGATTTCAGTGATGATTTAACACACACACATACACAAAATACAAAATAAACATATACACATACACAAAATGCAGATTGGCTGCAAAGTCACATTTAACACACTGCCTGAATCAAGATGTGGTCTCACAACAATGAGATCACCACTGAACATTCTTTCAAATGGGAGTAGCTCTGGTTAAATATGCACATTTTAATGCATTCGTAAATTGGACTGGTAATTCCTCAACATGTCCCTGCTGTTACTCTAATGGCAATTAATTTTATGCTGATGTTGATGGAGCCAATTTCCAAAGAAAGTACACCTCTGTTCAAAAGCTTAAGAATACTGAACTGATAAACTGAAAAATTAGTCACATTTAGGTACTCAGTGTTTCCTATTGTGTTCAATTGTATCTCCAGAATTTGCACTGTAATATATTACATGCACACACCAATGACACAGAGAGATCATTTCCCTAGCTTCTGACATCTTTTAACCACATGAAGAAAATTCCAGATGATTTATGGGTTCAACTGGTTACTATTTTAATTTCTCAGTCCAACATACGCTGGCCAGACTTCCACCCAGCAAAATCCAGCAAGAGGGCGGCCATTGCTTTCAAGGACTAAGGAACAGGGAAAGCAGACCCAGTTATGGAACTACACAATTATATTCTAACCAAGTCCTCTGAGATAACTACGAAGGCCCAGTCTTCAGCAGCACCTATAAAAATGTCTTGAGTGTTGCAGCCCTTATGTCTAAGGGCCAGGTACACACAGAACAGACACCATATGGAGGCTGCTGCAACATGTTGAGGGTGACATGGAGGAAATTCCCTGATCTGCAAGGGATGCAGGCGGCTTGCCACACAGAGGAAGCTGCCATGGAGAGCAATTTCAAGCAGCCTCTGCATGGCAGCTGTTTTGTCCATACTAGTCCTTTAAGCAGCTGCCTGAAACGAACATGATGCATTAATAGCTGACAGCATAGCCTATGAAACATATCTCATGCACTGGGCAACTTGTATTCAGGGCTCTGCCTCAAAGGGAATAGTAACCCCCCTCCATAGTGACCAGGCTTCCATTACACTACATGTTCCTTGTGCTAGAAACATGGCTGCAGATTAGGGAACAGACTTTCTGTGCAGGATATTTTAAACAAAACCAGTGCAGAAGTAGGAGGAACATATTGAAAAATTCCAGATAGTGAAGGCTCAAGCACACATTGAACCCCGAGCCCTGTTTGCTGAAGCAAATGGGTTGCTGGATTTTTTTCCTCCTTCCCCCCAAATGTTATTGGGAGGGGTGTGATTTGGTCCAAAAATAAGTGATGCCTAACCCTTCTCTGACTCTGTGAAACTCTGTCTACCTGCTTCCCCCCCCCTCCCTGCAGAATTTTATGCTTTATCGTGCAAAAACATGCACGGAACCTCTTGGGGAAAGAGACAATTTTAAGGAGATTTTCAGGGTCTGCGCAGCAAGGGAAAAGATTAAGCACCCCTTCCCCTTCATTGCTTCTCTTGTTTTAAATGTCCAACTCCCAGTGCTGTATTGTAGAGATGCGTATATGTATTCAAGGGGAATCCTCACACAACAGAAGGCGGTTCAATCTAGCTGAAGACTAATTCTGTACACAAAACTCTCAGTCTGTATGCATGTCTATATAAAATTGTACCTCTGACTTTAGTGGAGTTTACATATGAGAAAGTGTACATTGTATTGCAACCAAAACACATCAGTCAATGCATTACTGATTACAATGATGTTAGCAGTGGCTCCTGAGAAAGACTCAAAAATTGGATCAGGAGGTAAAATCAGTGATCATGTTATCACTGTAAGCAGAACTGTGTAAGTAGAACTGTGTAAGCAAACTGACATCAGCAAAAGTCATTTTCATTTTCCCATTTAAGGTAGTCATTCTTTTCAGTAGACTGCAGTAAAAATGATTTTCAAAGGATAGCTGTGTTAGTCTGCAGTAGAACAGTTAGATTCAAGTCCAAGGAGCTTTGACTCTCAAGAGCTTATACCCCCAAAATCTTGTTGGTTTCTTAGGTGCTACTGTGAAAATTCAGAGTAACAGCAGCAAATATTTCAATGTTGGCTTGGGAGCAGGTTGTATTGATCTCAGAGTCATTTTGCACAGTATGCCAGGAAAACACACTTTATCACATGGCTACATATCACAAGGAACATCAACTAATCAAGAGCTCCTAGTATGCATGTGTTTTGCTACATTTTCAGCATATACACTATGAGCTCTAAAAATATCACATATGAAATGGCCCTTACTTTTAGATACTTTTAAAGATCATAGCCAAATGGAAATTTAGAGGGTAATACCCTGGTATGTATGCTTAGTGAAATATGGCATTAATTTTTTAAAACAGGGAGCCAAGTCAAGATTGGAATACTTTTGACCCACTCCAGCTAAATTTAGTCATGACTAAGTCCACTGAAACCAATGAAAGGCATTAAACTGCAGATTTAACCTCATTGCCTTCAATGGGATGAAAGCACAGCTAGGCGAGATGTAGGGGAATCATTGATCAGGTACCTGGAACTAATAATTTTATCCTTGTTGAGAAATTGACTATTTTATGGTTTTATATCTGCTACACACACATGGACTGTGCACACATCTGTGTACCATGGGCCAAAGGAAGTTGTTTGCATCACCTACTGTGAGAGCCTTCACATAGGGAACACTTGCCTGCATTTCACGTTAATGTAGCTTGCACACATTCAGCTCAAAGCCTCATGGGAAGAAGAAGCACATGTTAGCCATTGTGAGCAGAGACAACAACCAAGAAGAAGAAATTCCCCCATTACTGAAGAGACGAGATGTCACGCAGAACATGGACCTGATATGCATCTAAATTGCAGTTTCCTGTTGATGACACCTTGTAGGCCTGGGAAAGCCAAGATTCATCTGTACTTCTTCAAAGAGGATACAGGAAGCCAAGACGTCACACCTAGCCAGATGGTATTCCATGAGATAGAGTGTAGTATTTCAAATATTGGCCCAACCCATAGAATACCTGCCCCTCTCTACATGCACCAATGAGGGAGGTTATGGGACGGACTTGTAAGTAGGTGGGATTACAGTTTGGCAAGGTGCCACCCACCTGGAGATTCAACTATAAAAGTAAAGACCCAAACCCTAGGTCTTTGCTAGCCATCTTCCCTCTCCACGACCTCTATCTTCTTTACTACCCCTAATGTCCAGCTTTCTATCCAACAATCCCTTTGTCTACTTTAAGATCTCTTGGAACTGCAGTCAAAAAGGTCCATGCTTGCTGGCTGGTTCTAGCGAGTGTGATTTAGTTTAAACCCCTAGACATTACTTTCTCCCTTATTCTTACATTGCAACAGACAAGACTTCTGGAACAAGCAAGAATAAACCGAAATACCTCCCTCCCTCCAAGTAAATGAGAAACTATTTTTGATATCCTTCTATAATTCTAAAGGAATCTTGAGTGTATGTGAAAAGTGAGACTGATTATTTTGTGTGTATGTGACTTTGATACTACTTAGTAAAAAGATTATTTGTTTTGGAAAAACACCCGTGTGGTCTCTATTATTGGAACTCTGGGTTCAGACACGACCTTGGTATAGCTGGCCAGGACTCACGTTAAATTTAGTTAGCCTCTGCTGTAGATAAAGCAGTTGGTGTAACATCCGGTACCATTTTTGACAAAACTGCCACCTTGTCTGCAAATAGTATGGGGTAGAAGGTTCAAATCTTTCCTATGCACCATGTTCCCAGTCCAAATTGGGATGAGGCTGGGACAATGGCTGCTTTTTAACTGTAGAAAAATACATTGTGAGATGCAGTCTTTGATCTCCCACATCTTGTCTAGTGAGCTATTAGTTATGACTAACTTTAACAGGATCAGAGCCTGTGTATACACGTAAACTGTATAAGCCTGCTTCTTGAATAGGCTTTAGTGAAATCCAGATGGTAACACGTTTCATAAAGTCATGCTGAAGATCACAACCATGGCATGAAAGAAACAAAAAGAGCCAATTGTGCTGAACAGGATGTTCATCATTGCTATATTTTAATTACTGGTGTTAATGGGGAGAAATATCCCAATGTGTACCTACGGGTTTTGTTAGGCTGTACAAAGTCATCATGCTTGGTTAATTAAAAAACTCAGGACTTGCAATGAACTCTTTTCACTGAACTCATAAGAACCAGATAATGGAGCCACACTCAAATAAATTCAATTACGTCTTTGGTAAGGTTTCTAATTAAGCCAAGTGAGAAAACAACATTATTGAGTTTGTCTGTTTCCTTAACTGAAGGCAAAACTTTAAGGTTGACAGTCTTGAGAAATAAGGGGGGATGGCGCAGTGAGGAACAGCACTAGAGTACTAGAAATTGCTGCTGTCTTGTGAAAGAAGATTTTTCTTCTTCTTTGCATTTAGACTGAAAAAAGAGCTCAGGACTATTGTTTCAGTACAGCATCCTTGATCCAGTATTTGCCATTTCACATTGTTGTCTAGTTAAAATGTTATGTGTGCATGTGTGTGGGGGGGAGGGGAGATGAAGGGCTTCTTTGTCTATCTTCATGAAGCCAATTTTCTTTCATTTCTTGCATCCTACACACCATCTATGCCTCCTGGATGACAACTATTTTTCATGAAAAAAATTACTCTGATGTGGTCAGGCAAAACTGGTTTTCAAAGATTTGGTTGTAAGTGCTACAGAACAACCCCTTAGACTTGATACCAATCGGGGCCACTGATTATGAGCATCTCTTATGAAAGCCCATGGAAATGCACAGGAATTAAGGAAAAGCAGTTATGCCTCCCAACTACCATGTGTTCCAATACAGCTTGGACAAGAGGAAGAAATCCTGCTGGGCTGCAGTCATTACTGCACATGATGGCTGAACAAATATCTGTGCGAGCAACAGTATTACTAACTTTTTAAACATGGTTTTGCTTTAGTTTTAGAAAAATGGAAAAGAATCAAAATGTTGATTTAATAAACGTGTACACACTATTTGATGGGTTTTTTTAATGTAACCTTTTGTCAACACTGTGAAAAAACCTACCCTACTTGTGTCATAGGGTATATTTATATCCCAAACATATTCTAATATATATTGGGTTTTAAAAAGCCCCACAATTAAAAACAAAACTTTACGGTGGTGTAAAACACTTTGTTTTATAACACCCGAATGCCTGAAAGTACACTTTCACAAACAATGGGAAATAATTGCATTAATAATAGTAACAAAAATGGTACATTTGTTTGTGGGCCTGAAGTATTTTTCTACTCCAAGAACATCTCTCTTTGTGGTGAGGTAATTGCTCCCTAACTGATGACTCCTGATAATAATCAGTTATCAGAATAGGTGGTATCTCTTCAGAACAATTAAAACACTTCCTTGGAGCAGTGTTTTCTGGGGGAAAACTTACATGGAATTTATTTATTTTTTACCACCCCCCCCAAAAAAAAACACAAGTAAAAAAGCAAAATCAATGGTTTTCTTGGGTTGTTTTCTATGCCATGTGCTTTCTGTGTATAGAATGAAAACTGTAGGTGACAGCAGTTGTACTGCAGGAATTTATTTTTGTGCAAGTGATATCCAAAGATAAATAACTTGTAGATTCAGTTCTTTCCACATTCTGGCCAAACAAAGAAAAAAACCCCCAATGTAACTGCATAGGAATTTAACCCAGACTAGTTACACATAAACTATATCTGTAATAAAGGCATCTGGTTGATTAAATTTGATGTAAGATGTCCGAAGTACTGCAAAGAAATATGAGATTATCTCTCATACCTCAGTCATGTTCGTAACATTGTTGAAACTTGGTGTTGGTTTTCAAACTTGATGAAGAAGAGGGAGGATAGCAGTTATGGCAGCTGAAATTTTGGTCTGATCCTAAGAAGATTCTCTGATACCTTTGAAATGTGAAATGGCTCCCAGTAGGTTCAGCCATGATATAGCCAGTGAAGAATGGCCTACAGTTTCCTTTGCCCTCTTCTCCAAAATACCTTGGACTACAGCATTGGTGAAGTCATGGCAGAATTCCTTTGGATCTATGAAAAGCCCAGCTGAAGCTTTTCCCATAATACAGCCATGTTCTTGCTTAACCTCCATTTACTTCAGTGGGATTTGTGACAGAGTACTGGAGCTCCTGGTAGATTCTACCCTCTATCTTCTCACCACTAGTTTTTTTCAAAGGGAAAACCAACCCTTCCCTTCTGCTGCATTATGTCTGTCAGGAGGATGAAAAAAGGAAGTGGAAAAGAGCCCATTTTGGTGGGAGGGGTGATTGAAATTCTACTGAAATCCCATGCCTTATGGAATCTTTATGTAGGAATAATGTCATGTGAAATGAACAACACATGTCCTACATAAAACCTGCTCTTAATAAAACAATGATTTAAACAATAGAGAAATATAGAATAGTTTGCTTCACATTAGTCTAATTCCACATTCTTTATATTATGTATGTAACTAACTAGGGTCTTAAAAATAGAAAAATATAAGTTCAGGAGTGAAAGTTGCACCTCTAGTACTTAGACTACTTTGGCCCCATTATAGAAATGTCATATAAGGTAAGCCAGATATAGCTTTTTGCAGGTTTATGCACACTTGGACATTTCTTGTATGACAATCAATCAGTTACCTCTTTGGGCATCCAACATGGAAAGGGGGTTACTAGAGCCTGGGTGTGCCTCACATAATCATGCCTTCACAGCAGCCGGCTCGGAATACAAGGAAGCCTGTGGATGTGCCCAGACTGCTCTATAGCTCCATATGCTATTTCCATAACTGGACATGACTAAATTTCTATCACAATAGAGTCTACAATCAGAGATTTGTGTTGGCGTAGGTCTTCACCACATTCCTAGCACCATCCCACTGCTACAGCGGAAACTTTGGAGCACACAAGATGAGTGTAGTGTGGCTTTCCCATGTCCCCAGGCTGCTTGAGGTCTGACTTATACGCTGTTTCTGGAACTAGCTGGGAATATCTGCAATGTCTTCTTAAAATATATGTCCACTATTAATAGGAGCACAACTTCTGGGATTTGGGTTAAAGATCACCAGCGCATCAGTTTCTAGGATCCAGGCAAAATGCATGATTGTTAATACAATGGGATTTATTTTCAGCATGTGTGAGTGCATACTGGAAAATAACATTGTGTGCCATTGGGAAAGGTGACCTTTCAGGTGATCGTTGATTATATGTTGCTGGATACTGAAAGGCCCAACAATATTCTAAGACAGAGTTTAAGATGCTTATATGTATAAAACAATCACCAAGTTCAAAGTGCTGAAAGCACATCCTAGATATATAGAGAGATAAATGCTCATGTTTCCAAGAAGACAGTTCTCTTCACCTTAGATCATTTTTTTTGCTAATGATTTGTTCTTGTCTCTATTAACAGATGTCAGAGCTGACATATGCTCTGTTTTCATTTTTTTTAAGCATAGGAAATTCTTCAAATCTTTAAAAAGAGAGAAGAAAGCAATGGATTGATATGCCTCAGAGAATGGCATATCTAGTATGGTGTGATTTGATTTATAATCTATACCAAAACCCTTTCCATATTGTATTATTTAACAGTAAATTCAGCATAGAGACCAACCCTCCCAATGTTTTAATGAAAGTGACCAGAACAAATCATTAGCAGCGATGTGTTTATATCCATTTGAAATTATGTAAATTGAGTGCAACAGGTTTGGAGGAGCATAAATGTTACATTTTTTCTTGTTTCTTAGAACCAGACTGGAAAAATTCATTTTAACAATTTTTGTACAATTTTAATTGTGTGAGTAAAAGTCAGTAAAAGGATTGTGAATGAAAGTTGCCTAATTTACAACTTGGGGTTCCTTTGATATATTCTACCATTATAGTGTAATCAGAGATCTATGAACATTTACTGGAAAAAATAGTGTAAGACATGGCTCTATGGAAACACACATTTTCATCTCACTTCCTGAAACTTTAGCACTGAAATGGTGATTGCCCTTCATGGTCTAAGAAAATGTGCATGTGAAGAAAGTGGGCTGAGTTTGCCCTTAAGATTGTAACTCAGAAGATTTCCGTATGTAAATTTTAAGCCAAGGACTGAGATTTTCTGTAGTCTGAATACAATGAATGATGTTGGCAACCAGATTTATTTATCATTACAATCATTTATTTTACATTGGCAAGGCAAAGATTCTAGGAATGCAATAATCTGTATTCTCATATGAATGTGTTTTGGAAGATAAATGTCTCCTAGCCATTTCAATATGTAATCAATAGCCTCGATTCAGAAAGACAAAGGAAGCTTTAGACTTGTGTTTGCTGGACAGAATCTCCCCTGCCACATACTTGTTTAAAACATTAATGTTTGGGAATCACATATACAGTAAGCTTGAAATAATGTACGCCCCCAAATCTTACTAAAATAAATATCAACATAGTAACATAACCAAACTGCCCCCTTTACCTAACAATAAGTATTATTTAAAACAATATGAAACCTCCCCCTTAATTTCTTAGGTTTAGAACATTAAGATAACTATAACTGTATTTTCTATTTTGAACATGTATTTTTCAAAGTACTATTTAATACAGAGCTTCTGTTCAACAGCTGTCTGGTTTCTGGACTCAGCATTTATATTGCCATGCCTAGACATCATTTCAGCATGAAGACAGCTTAACATCAAGAACTGTGTTGGTACCTAAAACAGAGTTGGCTATTCCCTAGTCTCATGATTCATGTGCTGGCACAGCTGATCTTACTATTCATCATGGTTAATTGCAATATATGGCTTAGCAAGAGACTCAGTTCACATTTGCTTTTAGCTACATTAACTACCCTTTCCATCTAAAATATATTCAGGCTATTCCTTATTAATTATTCATTTTTTTTAAAAAAAAATTAAAAATAGAATATTTACATGTCAAACCAATCACTCCATACCAAATGCATACAAAAATCTTATTCCTTTTGGTCAAACCTACCAATGAGTCCCTGTACATTTGGGATGGAATTTAAGAGCTAGATAAATATCTGTGTTTAGTAAATGAAGCTTCAAAAGATCTGGCATGACATACGAAAATGAGTAATTACATTACAGGTTCTACTTAGGTATCATCTCTGATTTTTATCATTTTTTATTTCATTGAATATATAGTGCAATACATACACACACTCATAGTGAAAAACAAAACTACAAATTAAAAAAAAGTAAAATGTTTTGGTTTCCTTTCTTATATATCTTACACAGGTACACATGCACACACATGGTTGCATATTTACCTACATTTTAAAAATATCTTTGTATTACATATCTGTACACTTGCACCTTTTTATACCTACATAAAAAGACCAGGTAAAAACTGAGTCAAAAGTCCAGGCTCAACTTTCACTACCTTTATAAGAATGCACTCTGATGCTGAACTGCATTCAGGTCATTTGTGCTTTACCTGACTGATACTAAAAGGAAAGAGCAACTTACTTGGCAATCCCGTCGACTGTCTGTGTGGCTGATTATTTTTTTCTCTGTTCAGAGTCAAAGTACTTCCACTGGTCATGGAAACAAGCTCTAAATCCGTGTCTTCTCTTCTTACAGGGCTTGTCTGGAAGCAGAGGGAGAGTATGTACACAATCAAGAAACAAAATATGACATTTTCTGAATGCAGCTCACATTACTCTCAAATAAACAAGCTGGCTCTGTCAAACAATCTTCTTCAGAATGATACCACAATCCTTTATTGCTGCCCAGCCTGAACAAATGCACTATGTCAAAGCACTTTTGTAAATAGGAGGCGATCTTAAAATTGTGGTTTGTGATCAGCATCCGTGCAGCAACAAAAGACAACATTTTAGTACAGTAATTTTGAAGAAAATAAATCTTGCAGACAACTGATGAAACCTTAAACAGCTTAAGATCATTTACTGAGCGGTCTATAATTTAAGTTGGAGTTGAATGCCAGAAATGTTATATTTGATTATTTTTGCAATATTTGTGTTTAATCCAGAGTAAGTATCAGTTCTATCAATCAAACATCCAGTAAGTAATTTCATCTTACCTCTTTGCTACACAACCAAGCTTCCATAAAAGGTTTTATGTATAGCTTGCACAAGCTGATTATATTGAAATATAACATATTGATAGATAAAAAGAACAACATTCTTTCATGTTGGTAATATTAAGATTCAAAATGGAGGACAAATACTGAAACTAATTCAGCAGCTTTAATAAATGCACATATTTAAACACATACCATACACTTCTTCCTAATATGTGTGCATTTCAAAAGCTGTCTCACATCTCCTTCTAATTAACAGCATCACTTCTGTTGAAACTTATTTCTAAGTTAAGTAACACAGCTGTTAAAACTGAAATATGTATGTTAGTATTAGTTTGTTATTAAATGTACTCAAAATATGTTAGTTGTGAATGTAGTGCTTAATTAATTTAAAAGTCATACATAGGGTGGCAATTTATAAGTCACTAACATTTACAGTGCATTACACCATAGTTACCACTCACTGATTTCTATAGGATCAAAAAACACTAAGGTCTTACTGATTTCATTGATTTCAGTTGAATATTTGTTCTTAAGTTTTAAATTGTGCCATATGGGATGGCTGTGATTTCAGATCAACACAAAAGTGGTCAACACAATCAGGTGATGTTTGTCCATTGTTGTGGACATAATCCCATTTTTATCAGTTTCAGTTGCTACACAGGTTTTGTCCTTTTGTGGAAGAGAAGGATTTATACTTTCATAAGGTAGAGGATCAATTACAAAGAAGTTCAACATGAGGTTGCTTGTGAAGACAATTTAGAAGTTTCAAATAATACAGAATGCTGCAACCTGCCTGTTCGTTGGAGGTGGGAATCATTTGCAATTTATTTAGTAACAGTTGCTCTGGCTGCCATTAGGTTCTGAACCTAATTCTGAACCCTAAATCCTTCATGACTTGGGCACTGCCTCATCCCATATAAGCTTAGCCTGGCCTATGTTTTGCAGGGCAGATCTTGCGCCCAAAGAACATATGTGGCAAGAAGCAGAGCCTTAACCACAATTGGTCTAAGGCTGCGAAATGACAATCCTGATGAGGCTCAGAGCTGCTTTGGTCTTGTAATTTTTCAACCTCCCTTTTTCCAGAAGGCCTGACAAAACAGACATCTCTTGATAGGCACCATGACACAAAATACTTTTCCTGGGAAACTATCCACTACACTCTGACTGTGTGGGCACAGGGGTTTGATCTCTTTATGAATTTGCAGGATCAAGCCATGTTTCTAACTACTGGTTTTATACATATATACTGTTTAAAAAGAGACATTTTAAATGTCTTTTTAATTGTTCTCCCTCTTGAAAGCCCTAATTAGATTGAAAGGTGGGATATAACTTTTCGAATTTTTTTGAAAAATTAAAAACTCAGTAGCCATATACGCTAGGGGTAGAATTCATTACTCATATCAATTTTTTAAATTTGGTGATAATCAGATCTTACATTGTAACCAGGGTTGCCAGTCCCCAGGCTCCAGTAGGGGTTCCCCCAGTTTTCAGGGCTTCTGCCTGGTAGGGGAAACTCAACCCCCAAACAACGATGTCACTGTGTAATGTCCCTGATGAAATGACATCACTCAGAAGTGATGTCATCACGTCAGGCATTGCACAGTGATGCTCTGGTTTGTGGGCAAAACTCTATGGTTTGAAGCCGGTTTTACTACAGAGTTTCACCCCAAAACCAGAGCACTGCTGCACGACATCCCCAACATGATGATGCCACTTCTGGGTGACATAATTGCATTGAGTACATCCTGGAACGCCCCCCCCCCCCCAAATCCCCCTGTTGTGATGAGGAGACCTGGCAACCCTAATTGTAACTTGCTAGGAGCCCACTGAAGGCTTAGAAAGGTGTACGTCTGTTTAGGATAGTCCTATGTCTTCTAATATCTTGAATTTTCTTGCAAAGCATCAGCTGAGAAGGGAAGATGATTTGTATTAAGGTCAAGGCAATGGGTAATACTACTCATACTACTTCCTGGATAGAAATCCCTCCCCCCCAGACGCAGCTATACCCCTTAAGAAAAGAAGACTAGCAACCTGCCTTTGCTTTATTGGAGCTAATAGCAGCTCAGGAAAGGAAATTTACATCTGGAAAATGGCACCAAGGGGAAATGGTTCAATTCTTGCCTCCCCTTACTTGCTAGCACCACCACCCTGACTGAAAAACTACCCCAGCTGCTTTTAAATAAAATTAAAGATGTTTGAGGGTTCAGTCATGTATCTCTCACATCTCTAGTTGCACTAATAACATGAGCTAAACCCATCCAGATAATGTACTGATATTCTATTATTATTTTTTCTCAGTGTGATTTATCTTGAACAGGATACCTAATAAAACAGCAGAATATTTTAATCTAATGTTAAGAGGAATACCATTAGCAACAGCAATTAGATCAAAGAAAACTTATTACATTAACTTCAGCATCCACAAAAAACCCAACCCCTCAGTTGATATGGGTATTTTGCATATAAGTATTAATTACTGATTATTATTAGTTTGTCAAGACACTTTGTTATGGACCAACAGCAAGTAAAGTAGAAAAATAAATGTTTCCCACTGAATGTTTTTGTCTTATAATCACATAAGATGGTCACTCCCATATTTTTAATGTGAAGTCCATTCTATTTCTCTTTTAGAAGAATGATACAACATGATGTGTAAAGGAATTTGTCATGAAATAATAATAATAATAATAATAATTTCAATTTATTAATCGCTTTCCCCAGTGGGCTCAAAGCGATGTACAGTTACACATTTTAGACAGGGGACTAACAATGTTCATAGGGGATAGGGAAGACAACGATGAGCTGGGGACAACAGGCTGGCTGCTCACACCAGCGCAGGGCTCGAACTAACACAGTTCGGATGTTAAGACAGTGGGATATACCCACTGTGCCACCGCTCCCCTTTCTTTAAAAAAATGTGAGGATTAAGAAGGAAGTAATGTAGGTAGAAAATATTTCAGGACTCTTGGAATTGCCAGAATTTTCATACCTGCAAGGGTTCTTCATATATTATGGAATGAACAATGCATTTCTGAGGAACCTCATGGTTATTACCAATAATGAAGGCCAAGGTCATGAATTTTGCTGTGCATGAATTGAGAAGAGATTGGAAGCTTCGGTCTACTTTTTGTGACCAGCCATTCTAAATTGCTGGTTTGGTTGACTATCATAGTAACATAACACTATACAACATGGAAGAAGCTGGGGAGGCATAATTACCTTGCTGTGAGCAAGAAACTGTAAATTATCCAGGGGGACAGTGGTCTAAGGTAGGATATGAAGAACATTTATTTGAAACAATATTTGCTGCACAATGTAGATTACTAGTTGTGATTATTTTATTTCTTCAGTTATCAAATTTTTGTCCTGTTCCCTTTCCCTTGAATGGGACTCGAGATGGCTAACAACATATAACATATAATGGCTAACATAAATATGAAAGTTGTAAATTAAAGGGTGTGTTATTTGTTTAATATCAGTTCTTGGGCTTAATTCCAGGCTGTTGGGTGAATAGTGGAACATAGGTTCATCACTCCATTGTAAATAATTCCATCAATGGCTACTAGCCATGGTGACTAAAGAGAGTCTCCACATTCAGAGGCAGAAGATCTCTGAATGCCAGTCCTTGGCAGGAACATCAGGGAAAAGGTCTTGGCGTTTATGCCCTATTTGTTGGCCCTCCAGGGTGCTAGACCAGATGGACCACTGGTCTGATGCACTATGGCTATTATATTCTTAGTACTTCTTTCCCCATCTCACTTTCACCCTCTTACATTTATCCCTTCCCAAGGTCTTTATGACTGCAGTTCATCTTGACTGACTATGTTTTCCTTGTTAGCAATCCCCTTAAAATGTTTGCAAATTGAGATCTTACATTTATTTATTGAAGTATTCATACCTTGCCTTTCCCCATGGCTCAAGGCAGCTCACAAATCCAAATGTAAAACATACAAAATACAACAAAATGCCAAATACAGTAAAATCCCTCCAAATGCCTGCAGCCTACACCTTATTAAAAGCTCTAGCCAATAAAATTGCCTTGCAGTGGCTCCTAAATGCGTCTAGAGATGATATGCCCACCACCTCCTCAAGGAACTTGTTCTGTAGGGTGGGAACCACAACAGAAAAAGCATGGTCTCTGGCTGATAACTGGGCAGGCTGTCTTTTTTAACCCAGAGGACTTCCTCCCAGAAGTGGGAAATTATACAGAAGGACATATTAAACGCACAGTGTTTTATTTTGTTGTTGCTGCATGTTGCTTTAATTTGCAGATGATTTTATGACTGCTATGGTTTTGCTATTGTTGGGGCAATTCTACTGTGCTCTTAAATTAATTTCTTAAATTTATTTTTACTATTTTATTGTTAGCTGTCTTAAACACCTCCAGAGAGCCAGTATAAAATTTTTCTAGATAAGTAAAAAGCACTCCTACTCACAGAACAACTAACTTCAGTCATATGTTAATTATACATGTTCTATGCATAAAGATTTGTTTATAAGCCAGTTACAAAAAAAACCACAAACAAAAATCCAAACATAACTGACTGATCATCTATTTCAGATCTTTTTATTATGAGAGAAATATCTTACCACAAGCTGAACTCTTCCTCCCTTGAGAACTTCAGGGTCTATCTCAGGCAAGAAATGCTTGCTATGCATTGGTCAGAAAATAGTGAATACATTAATAACATATTAAATTACATGTTCAAAAACACAGAATGACAAAAGGCACCCCAAAGGTTCGATCCTACCCAGTGGCATTCTGACTTCTCTCTCTAAAAAGCAAGTCTCCAAATGATACCAGAATTAGCTTTTCTAAATTTTCTGTGTTTCAGATGTGGGTAGCCACTCAGCATGGTGGATGTGCTGTTCAAGAAACAAAAGGCCAATGCTTTCTAATGCATCCAGAACGTGCTGCATGGTCCTTTGTATCCTGGCTCCACGCTACAGTCCCAAGCACACGGGTATGAAAGTTGAACTGAATCAATGGAATTACTTCTGAATAAGCATATTTACAACTGGGCTGCAAGACACCTACTGCTTGGAAATAACTGGCTGTCAAATGTTTTAGCTAAATATAATTAAGAACTTGGGCTCTTATTTTCAATAGGGCTTAAGGAATATTATTTTTAAGCTGGCTGGAACAGATAAGGTAATCAGTTATTGCCAGAAAGTTTAAGATAAAATTCTGTAAATACAAGTTCTTTAATAGCTAGCAATTTATCAAATTTGCTAGTAACAATGAAAAGCTACAAATTACACATATCATTATCTGATCTTATTCAACCTAGTAATAATCTTGGTTTTTGTTAGATAAATCTATCAGCCATTTGATCTTCATAGTTCTGAACCCCCCTCCCCCTGCCATCAATGTTTTACCATAAAGTTCAGGGAAAGCAGGATCAGACATAATATCTAAATGTCTTAAGCAATTCTGTTAACATTATTAACGTGCTGCTCACATTTATAGAAGTAAAAAAAAATGAAAACAATCCCTGTTGCGTAGAGACCATCTTGTCTTAGTTTTAATGAAAATTGAAGATAAAGATTTTTTTAAAAAATAAAAACACACACATCTTCTTACTGATTATTTACACACACACATGCACATATATCCAAAGGACTTTTCTGTTTTTAACTACCATGCTGCAAATTACAGTTTAAAATGTTATACTGTCCTTGATCAGAGCCAGGACCTTTTCGGCCCTGGCGGAACTCTCTGCCTAATGACATCTGTGCCCTGTGGGACCTAATGCAGGGCATGTAAGACAGATGTTCTGCCAGGCCTATGGTTGAGGACAGCAACAGTTGACATCAAGCCTGGCCTCCTTATCCTTCATCTCTGCTTCTCCAAGGGTTTAGATACAAATATTTAACATCATCTGGAACAGTCTGATTGTTGTTCAATTTTAACTTGTTTTTATGATTGTATTGATTGGAATGATAGAGTGTATTCACTGAATGCTGTGAACCGCCCTGAGCCCCATTGGGGGAGGGCGGTCTAGAAATCAAAATAAATAAATAAACAAACTGATCCCCCCCCCCATGTGTTTTTCCTACTGCTCTTCTACATATTTTGAAAATATATAGTATTTTAATGATTACTTTCAGGGATCCTTTGCAATGATGACTGTAGCTTTAAATAATGTATAATACAATCTTATTCTAAACATATTTACTTGGAATAAACAAGGGGGGGACCATCCTTTTTATTAGTATGGGCCAAAAGAATCTCACTGGGATACCTGCAGAGGGCATCTGGCTCCTTCCACACAAGCTTACATATTCTTTTTCAAGGGAATTTTAAAAATCTTTTGGTTTATAATAGAAATCTATTTCATTAGATGGTGGAGAAATCACCAGCTAAGCAAAGAGAAATCTACTCCTTCTAGAAGTCAAAGGACAGAATTTTCTCAGGCACAAAATTGTGAAATGTTAATTTTCTTTTAATAAATTTAAAACAAAACCCCAAAAACTTTGCATGTTTTTGACCCTTGGATTCTTCTCTCAATATGATTCTCCCTCTTTGCTGCCTGTACTATTTCCTGTTTTAAATACAGAATTTGCCACAGCATATCAATGCAGTATTTAGTATGTCTGGTTAGCTTTAAATTACAATAATTTGAATACATTCTGTAACTTGAAGAATATACAAAAATATGTGTTTTCCTGTATTTTTCATAAATGCAGCCATTTGGGCTTCTGACAGAAAAATAATTATAGATACTTTGAAGAGATATTGCATGCTGGCCTGTCATAGCTATTCACTAAGATTTGTGACAGAATGATATGCAGAATTTATTAAATTAATTCTCAAAGGGAATGTATTTGAAACTTGGCAATGTGGCCCTTGGATAAAATGCCTCATTTGTTTTAGGACAATTAAGACGGGCTTTGTGTTACATGATGTATTATTACAGTCCAAAAAATCTAATTTAAAGGCAATGAGCTCACCATTTTTCATTTTTGGGACTAGGTCCTTCATAATCCCAAACTTGTGTATGAAGCCATTGGTATGTACGTTCTTTGTTCCTTTCAATCTTCTCTTTTAATTTATCTCTGTAAGTGAAGTTGTCTTCTTTACCTGAGGATGAGAGGAATTTTGGGGTTTTATAGTTCCATAAGCACAATTATCTGCAAGAGAGATGAAATCAACAGCCTTGAAGCACAATTCTGTGTGTAAGGCATTGGTACTAACAAAAAAATTGAGTAAATACCACTGACCAGTTGTTGTCCTCAAAGACTAGCTTTCATCTCAAAAACTCGTGATTAGATTGATTAATCTATTTGTATGAAAAACAGCAAAGAATGCCTCAATCCCCTCTCTCACTCAACACTTGTAGGCAAGGCTGCTTTACAACAGTCATGAGACTTACGTATGCATGGATGTATGTATTTGTCTTCAAGTTGCAAGTGACCTATGGAGTCCCCAGAAAAGGACTTTCAAAGCAAGTGAGAAACAGACTAGTTTGCCATTGATTTCCTCTGCAGAGTCTTCCTTGGTGGTTCCAGAACCAAGTACCAATCCTTCTCAGCTTACAAGATAAAATCAGGCTATACCATACCATTCCATATCCTCAGTCATTAGACTTAGCCTAACAGAAAAAAAAACTCTTCTGAGGGCCAAATAAACTTCATGTGATTTTGGAGCTCCATGAATGGACCTCCAGAAACATTATTGTCAGGTGCATAGGCAGGTAGCAGATCAGGCAGGATGAATAAGTTCAAAGTCAAGCTAAGGGTAAAGTTGCCAAAGGGCAAGACACAGGCAACAAGTCTGTAGAGCATGCCGAAGCACCATCAGTGTTAGGGCAAGAAGTCAAGAATCTACGAGGCAATCCAGGTCAGACAAGGTAAAAGAAAAAAAAATGCCCTGACTGTTTGACACCCTGGAATGAAAAAAGGCAGCCATAATATTTTTTACCTGATGGGGAAAAATACTGGTACCCATATAGGACGAACCTTTTTGCCTGTCAGGATGTAAAGCAGAGAAGTCATTTCTAACTAAGCAAACAACACCAGAAAAAGGAAAGGTTAACTTCTCCTGGGTTACAGCCCTGGCTCATACTGCCCATCATGGCTGCTTTTTAGGGTCAAATAACATATTTAGAGTTTAAGTCAAGGAAATCCAACAACAAAGGCTGTTGATTGAGTGACCACAGAGATATATTTATTAGATCTGCTTGCTGCTTTTCAACATTTCAAAGTAGGATACAACAAATAAATCTACCATCATTAAAACCAACAACCATAAAATCATTACAATGTGAAAAATTACAATAGCTAAAGAAAAAGATGAATTCCATGTTCAGTAGAAGTGACAGCACAAAACAAGCAGGATGCAAATTACTCAGCCAAACTGCAGAGATTAAAACATTTGTATTCATTTAAAGGCCCAGAAAACAGGTAAGTATTCAGTCCCTAGATGAACACCTGAAGAGATGGGACCAAATGAACCTTTTAGTGCAAAATATTCCAGAGTACAGGGGGGGGCCACGGGGGGCCAGGAACTATGGAGAGAGCCCTGCTTTTAATTAGGGCTTTCATCTTTCCAGCTGTTTTAGAGTCTGGTCTGAGGTCTGTTTTATGGATAGTTTTATGCAGCACATTTGATAGTTGAGCCTCACTATACAAAAGAGGAAGTGCAAAGGATGTTTGTGGGAGAAGTAAGAAGAGGGCCCCACTGTTCCCCTTCATGTGGAAGGGGGAAGAGGCTATGGAGGTGCTTCTGTACTTCTTTTTAGCAAATGATCACATGAGGTTGCCTTCCTGTTCCCTCTCAAAAACACGATTACTGTTAGTAATGAAGTCTTTTAGCAGAGTAAATCATCTCTTAAAACTTAATCTTGCCTTCTGCCCCAAGAGAGAGATCTTCTTTGGTTTTCACTTCATCGGCCTCCAAATATGGTCAGCTGCCCCACTGGCTCTCTGTGTCCCACTCACCATTCATCCCTTCTCCAGCCTGCGTTTCCATCTCTTGTGTCCAAGTGTGAGTGGACAACTCATACTCCAGTCTGTTTTCCCCTATTGGAGGACATTGTTCCTTTTGTAGTGCATTTGGGCTACAGTCAGATCAGATGAACTCTACATTGGCCCCGGTCACACAGAGCATTAGCCACGCTAGAGGGACGGAAGATAGGCGGATTTTCCAGGCGCGATCTCACTGCCACATCTGGGAAGCGTAGAGCTCCCGTGGCTCACCCGAGGCTTCCCGCCGAAGACGCGCGGTAAAAAACTAGTACCTCGGAGGTACTAGTTTCCGGAAACTGCGGGGCAAGGGCGGGCATCTGATCGCATTTCTGGTGGCATCCGGCGCCCGCCCATGCCCCATTGCAAAAAGGTTCCCCCCCAAAGTCTCCAGGGATGTGCACAAGCACCCAACGGGGCATGCACATACTTCAGGTTAACCCCCCCCCACAACACCGTTTGCCGTGCCGCTTCTTTGGCGTGTCGTGTGATCGGCACCTCCCCCCTAACCACGGGACCTCGACGGGACCGCGAGGGGACGCCTGATCGCGCAGTTGCGCGTTATTTCGCTGCGGGGCAAACAGCCACACCTCCCCCCCCCGCGATATCCAGCCCGTGTGACCAGGACCATTGGTAGGGTGGTAGCTATGTCTGTGGTAATCTGGTAACATTTTTCAACTTGCAAGTGTATGACTTTCTCCAGAGAGGTTAAAAAATGGGAATTGAGGGATGATTTATGTGATCTGAAACCAAATCCTAATTAACTTGGATGCATGCATACAACAGCATACATTTGTAACACGGAAGAACCAGAAGGAAGACACAATGAGACCCAAATATATGTGAACCAGACTGCCAAACAGTGAGGTAACCAAAGATGTTTCAGGTTTTTTAAAAAAGCTTGCATAGTTGCAGTACCTGATTTCTAAACTCTGTCTCTATTCTACATGGAGGGTATTTAATCCTTTCCCCTGATTATGTGACACAGAAAAGATATCCTTTATGATTATTTGATATTCTTCACTCTTAAGCATCAAGGACAACTTCAACGTATTCTTCAATGTTTTCTCTAGCTATCACAAGTAGGTTCATAATAAAAGTTGCTTCTCCTGTATTAAGATGTGTTCGGAAGATTGCCAGTTATTCTGTTAACATCTAATTTCTAGATAAGGAAGCTGCCAAACAAATGAATTTAAAGTATGAATGTACGGGCTTTAATTGTGTCAATTATTCAACATTATGACCTCTTTTCATACAGTTTAACATAGTCCTGTATGAAAGTGTCTTAAAATGTAAAAACATAGAAGGTCTGCTCCTGGAACATTAATATTTTAACATATGGTCATACCAAATAATAGTACAGCAAAACTTCAAAGCAGATCAGAACAGTCTTGATTTTATTTTACATATCAAAACCAGAATATTAAAAATGCTTGTAGTGACAGACAGGAAACACTGATTAATACTAATTAGCTATTGTAGTCAATTATTTTACTAGTTGTTAATATTTAAAAGTCTTTTTCATCCACAAAATTGTACTAACATATGAAGAGAAGAAGAAGAGATTGGATTTATACCCCGCCCTTCACTACCCAGAGGCTTACAAACTCCTTTCCCTTCCCCTCCCCACAACAGACACCCTGTGAGGTAGGTGGGGCTGAGAGAGCTCTGACAGAAACTGCTCTTTTTCAAGAACAGCTGTGCCAGAACTATGGCTTGCCCAAGGTCATCCAGCCAGATGCAAGTGGAGGAGTGAGGAATCAAACCCGGTTCTCCCAGATTAGAGTCCGCACACTTAACCACTACACCAAACTAGATTTCGATGGATGCATTATTTTCAAAAGGAACAACACAGGCAGGTTACAGCAAGTTGGGCCTTTGTAGATGATTTTTTAAATTTGATTTTTCTTCAGCAAAGAAGGTTTAGTGACCAGCTTGACACCCGATCTCTACAAAAAGGATTAGAAACCAGAAAGGTCGTATTGTTATGCTGGGAAGGGAAAGTGGGTGCACAGTATTTGAAGAACTAAATAAAGCAAAGTAGATGGTTAATGAAATTAAATAATTTAATTCAAAGTGCTAGTTTGTAACTGCAACCATTATAGTCTTACAATGGCAATCCTATGGAGAATTACAATCTACAGAAGTTTTTTTGTTAATAAATTCAGTAGAATCAGGACTTCGCTTTTAAATGAGTACATTTATCTCTATTCTTTCAGCATTCATGACGGAAGAAAGAAAATCAGAATTATTATTCAACAGTGTTCCCATTTTCTTTATTTTAGATTGTTGCACTGTGAAATATGGATCTATGAATAACCTTCTCTAAAACCCAAATGGTTAATAAAATGACCAAATAATAAGTGCATAGGAGGAAGACTGGCTAAGTTAAAAAGGGCATAACTGATGAAAACTGCATAAGTTTAACATTTTCACCAGTGTTTAACTTTTTCTGATTTATGGGAATAATTCACCTCCCACACAAAACATCAGCACTACTGCAGCCAAAGTCAGATAAATAAAGAAAGCAGCCATTCAGTCCATGTAGTTTGGATGAATTTCAGATCTTTGTAACGCTGTGCCAACATTCAGATCTAACGCTTACGTTTCTTAAAACTGCCATGAGGTTGCATTAAGAAAAATGGAAGGCAGGTCTCACAGCAATCTTATTTGTGGTCTGCAAGTAAAGCACAGGACTTGGGATTTTTACTTATAAAGGTAAGTGGCTTACACTTTGATCATGATGATCTGCACCATGATGAAAACTTCAAATACACAGTTTACATTAAGAAATTTTTTTTAAAAAAGAGTAAGAAAATCAAGCCTAGCAAACATTTCTTTTACTAGAGCTTTGCTTTCTAAGCAAACATTTCAGAGTCAGACTGGCAAATGTGGACCATAAGAATAAAGTTACTTACATATATGTACTTACTACTTCAGACCAGAAAATGCTAATGTGTAGTTAGACCAAAAACTATGACTATTTTATTGCAGGGAAAAAATAATACAAACCAGTGGAATATTTTACACTTTCAGAAGCCATTCCCATATCCAATTAAACAAGAATAATGCAATGTGAACACTCAAGTGCTGAGGAGAACTATGACCTCTAATTTA